CCCCAAAACCCCAAAACCCCAAAACCCCAAAACCCCAAGAAATTCAAGAGAGATTGATTAATGTTTCTGTAAGAAGAGAACTGCTCTGGGTGGGTACACTATTTCATGCTTCATTCCTTCTTTGCTGCCTCAGAGATATTACATATCGAAGGAAATGTTGGAATAGTCTTCATCTTTGTGATGCTTGTATGCCCAAGGATTTCTATAGGAGAGAGCATAAGCTTTATTTTTAAGAGGTGATTAATGATGTCCAAATTTTATAGATATACACTTTTCGTGGGAATTAATATTGAGAATTTAAGAAGCAAAGTAAGAATTCAGCATTCTGCCCAGCTTTGTAGATTCTATAACCTATTGTAACAATCTAATGAAAATTCTTGATTATCAATAAAGCTCTCCAATAAGCCTGCTAATTTTGATTAGCTCAATGATTGTTAAAGTTTGTGAAGATACAAATTTACATTCATGTTTATAAAACCACTCTAATCACTTACTTTTCAAGATAGTCTTCAATAGCTTGTCTCAAATTAATATTTCCCGGCATATTATCAAACTGGACGTCCTGCAATAACTCATTAGTTAGAGGGTCTCTGTATCCGTTCTTCTTAATATGCTTGATAATCTCTTCTTTTTCATACGTATGCCCTGATGAGAGTATCTTCGGATCAATCATTACCTCAAGAGAGATCGGACAGGTAAGAAACTCTGGAATCTTCTGTTCTTCAACAGAAGGATCCTTAAGAAGGTCCTGTAGTTCTGCCTTAAGCCTATCAGACTCTGAAGAATCAGCTGTATGTTCTTCAATAGGGGACTTAAGGTAAGAAAATAAATCATTCTTTAGCTTCTTATTAATCTCCTTTTCTTTATAGTATTTTATCTTTTTGGCAATGCGGAGTGCATGCTCTATGTCTCTATTAAACCCTGTCTTATCTTGACCATGAGTCAACCTGTGGGCTTTATTTTATATCCTCTATTCCTTCGTCGATACCTTTCATAGCTTCATCTTCTTCTTTGAACTTATGCAGCTAGAGAGGGATTAGCCAATAAAAATGAAGATAGAGTATCTTACCTCTATTTTAGCTTCTCCTCTGAGCTTGAGGCATTTGATGTACTTATCATCAAGCATGAGAGCTTCGTTAGAGTATTTCTCTACCTATGAGGTCATGGGGAATACCTTACCTTCTCCCAATCGCCAAGCTTCTTATAACACAGAGATATGTTCTGATAGATGTTTGCACCTGGAGAATCTTCGTTCTAGAATTATAGGTGAATTCTGGAATTTTGAGGAATCCGTATCTTTTTAAGATTTTAGAATATTTTTAATAAAATGTCAACAGAATTTTGAGAAAATAAGACTAATTTGTTAGATAAGAGAAGAAGATGGAATTATGCAGTTGGCTTACTTTTATGATCTCTAGATAATTTTCCACTGCTCCTTGATAGTCTTTATTTTTGAATCACTGATCCCCAAGTGCTTTCATTTCAGTAAAATTGTATGTTTCCATACTCTATAAAACAATCAACTCAAGTCTCTCCCAAAAAAACCATTCCTCCTTGTCCAAAAACCCTATTTATACTTATTTCAAACCATATCCAATTCTAAACTCTCTCCCGCTGTCCAAAATACCATACGACTTACTCTTCGTTAATTATTTATATTTTTACAATTTTAATTACCTACTTCGGGGTTTTGGGGTTTTGGGGTTTTGGGGTTTTGGGG